CTTCATTTTAATAACCCAGTTACATCTACAATGCATCTTGATTATGATTCCTCTTCCATCATTCTAACTACATTACAATGTGTTTTGTTAGAACAACCTGATTGGACCAAGACAGTTCACAATTAAATATTTTGAATGTACATTACTACTTCTAAATTGCTTAAATCGCTTTAGTAAATAAGCATTCAGCAGCATCCATCATGCATAAAGCCATTTAATTTATGTATCAAATTCTTAATTTTACACTCTTCTGGAAAAAAAGCAAATTAAAATAATCAGACATTAAAGCGATAGTGTACTATTATTAGTGAAATTCTACTTGGCATTCTTTTCTATATACAACACACCTTTAAATCATTTAAAATTCCTTTATTGAAATAGGAGGGTTCTAATTCTTAAATACTTTATGACTTCCCCCTGGACCCTATTAGATTTTCTTTTTGCTGTTTCTAGCAAATGCAAGAACCTGGGTTCAATCCTGCAAACACAAGCTAACCCCAGGGTGGCTCAGACCTGGGAAACAAAGGTCCCTCAAATGCTGAAGAGGTCATAGGAACGTTAATAACAGCACTGGCAACCACAGCTAACACCATGTACTAAACACACTGAAGTGCTTGTCCATTATTACAATAAAACATCTAAAGCTGGGTGACTTACAAAGGGGTTTGTTTAGCTCACAGTTTTGAAGGCTGGCTGTCCAAACAGCATGGTATGGTCTCTGGCAATGGCCCAGGACAGATGGCCTCACCATGGGAGTGTGTACGAGAGAGAGGGGGATCACGTGGAGAGACAGGAAGCCATAGAGTGATTCATGATTCACGATTCACAAAACCAGGCTCATTTTTCTTATTTGTCCTTTTCTTTTTCTTCCCCTTTTTATGGTGTTAAGGATGGAACCCAAAGATTTACACATGCTGACAAGCACTCTACGGCTGACCTACACCCAGTCCCAGGTTTGGTTTGCTGTTTTATAACAACTTGCTTTCAATGGATTAACTTAGGGTCCCTAAAAACACCTTAATTCATTTCTGAGGGCAGGGCCCCAGTGATCTGTCAACTTCCACTAGGTTCCAACTCTTATAGATATCACGTCTTTTTTCTCCTGTTGAGCATTGTTAACTATTCTTTATATAATTTTATACCCTTAAAAATACTCAAATGACTTCCAATAAGTAAAAAGGCAGCACCTTAGATACAAGGAATTTAAAGGGCCTATTCAAGAATAAAAAATAAGCAGGCGCTGATGGCTCATGTCTTTAATCCTAGGTACCTGTAGGTTGAGCTCTGAGGATCGCAGTTCAAAGCCAGCCCAGGTAGAAAAGTCCATAAGACTCTTATTTCCAATAAACTATTCAGAAAAATATGGCAGTGGCACTGTGGCTCTACTATAAAGTGCTAGCTGTGAGCACCAAGAGACTAAGGAAGCACCAAGCCCTGAGTTCAAGTTCCAGGACTGATAGGAAATGTACTCATTACCTTACTCATGTAACTGTAACCCCTCTGTACAGTATCTTTACAATTGCTTCCTAATCAGCTACCACCTTTACAACAGTCTAATCATCAGAAATAGAAACACAGGTGAGTTCTTCTGGGCTCTTAGACAGTTAGGGGATTTCCCTATTATTTAAACATATCCATGGATGCCCAGCACTTGTGGCTCATGCTTCTAATCTTACCTACTCAGGAGGCTGAGATCTTAGGATTTCAATTATCAAAGCAAGCATAGGCAGATATGTCGATTATCTCCAATTCCAGCAAAAAAAAGCTGGAAATGGAGCTGTGGCTTAAATAGGAGCAAAAAAATTAAGTGGAAGTATGGGCCTGGAGTTCCAATCCCAGTATGGGTACACACATACACACGTACACACGTACACACGTACACACGTACACACACACACACACACACACACACACAAAACCCAATCCCATATCCAAATAACTAGTCATACAAATCCAGTCTTTAGTAGGTTCTGAGATGGCATTACCCATGTTAGTGAAAAGTTGAATTTAACAGTTAAGTCTAGGCCTTTAGAAAGAGAAATAATGATATTGACTGAACTGAAGTTACTATTTAAAATAAAAAGACTATATTCATTTCATTCCAAGCTGATTTTTCTTAAAATCAGTATTATCTACCACAACTATTCTATCAGCCCATTTATGATTTAAATTCCAATATATGAGATCAATTAAACACACCAAAATACCCTGAGACATTATTGTTTGGCAGTATGTAAGACTAGCTATTACAGGAGCCCCTTGATACACCAGTATGTGGTTCCCAGAAGCGTTCTGTTGAGGAAAAGTAGTGCATGCTCAGGATGTAGAGCTTGGTACTGTTCTGCAGATGCTTCATTCATTTTCCCCACCACAATGCTTGCGTTCTGCTAAAGAGATGGCCTCCTCCCAACAAATGTCAATGTTCACTTTATCAGATAAACACATTAACTTTCATCTTGCTTTTTGGGCTCCATTTGCTTTTAGAGCGGCTGATTTTCACAAAATTAAGGGCAAGAAAACAGCAGATTATTCAAGTGACAATAACATAGGACTGATAGCTTCCTGACCTGTATAATGTGCATGAGGGAACTTTAAATGTCTGCTTTTAAATTTTCTTTTGATATTTTAAATTGTTTTATTTGACAACACTTAGTCAAAACCACATGTAATAGATCCATAAAAAGGTGAGCTTATTATAGCTCCTAGTAGCTTTTTTGAGAAAACCTAGTAAGTCTGCTCTTTCTTCCTTCCTTTTTTCTTTTTCTTTTTCTTTTTGTGCCATTCCTGAGGCTTGGCCTCAGGGCCTGAGTACGGTCCCTGAGCTTCTTTTGTTCAACCCTAGCACTCTACCACTTAAGCCACAGCTGAACTTCTGGCATTTTTGGTAGTTTAGTGGAGATAAGAGTATCATAGACTTTCTTGCTTGGGCTGGCTTTGAACTGCGACCCTCACATTCTAGTCTCCCAAGGCCTGGTTACAGGTATGAGCTACCAGCATCTTTCTTTCTCCCATTTTCATGCCAACTAAGGTCACTTTTGCTCCAAGGACACACTTTTTGGGTGTATCTTCTCCCTTCATGATGCCCATGATGCTCCTGTTCTTTTTTGCTGTTATCATTTTGTTTTTGGTTTTTCTGATGGTACTGGGGCTTGAACTCGGGGCCTCACACTCTCACTTGGCTTTTTCATTCAAGGCTTGGTGTGTGTGTGTGTCTGTGTCTGTGTGTGTCTGTGTGTGTGTGTGTGTGTGTGTGTGTGTGTGTCCACAGTTCCACTTCTGGCTTTTTTTTTGGGGGGTGGGGAGAAGGGGTGTTAATTGCAGCCTTACAGACTTTCCTACCCAGGCTGACAATGAACCACAATCCTCAGATCTCAACCTCCTGAGAGGCGAGGATTATAAGTGTAAGATATTGATACCTGGCCAATGCCTCTGTTCTTGTTCTATGTAAGAATGCAACAGCCTAACCTGGCTTCTGCCTAAACAGACCATGGAGAGGAGACCCAGTGCTCTGCTCACCTTTGTTCTCCAGGATCACATGGCATACATACTTCTAATCTTGCCTTTTCAGCATCACCCATTTAATTTAACTGCACAATGGCAGTTCCTGCACAGAGCCTGGAGGTCCTGTGCTCTCCCCATTTCCTCTTAACATCACCACTCTGAGGACCAAGCATCTAACACATGAACTTTGAGGAGACACTCAGACCATGCTGTAAGCATGGCAACACCACCAACATCTTCTCCTGGACTTCTCACACAACTTTATATGATGCCTTCAAGCCTGAACCCATGGCTTCTGTGGACTACAACCCAAAGGAGTTCTTAACACATAAAGACATATGAGAAGAAGCTTTCCTCATTTGGAGTAAGAGGAATAAACTAGAAAGGCAAGCTTAAAATCTACCTGGACTGAAAATGAAGCCACTTCACTCCACATCAGATATTGCAACCACAGCTACAAAAAATAAGGATTCCCACCTCCAACTCACTTGTCCTATAAGGACTCAGTCAACTGGCAGGTGAGGTTTGGGTGTATGTGGAAGCCCAACCCACAGCAGATCTGACACCAACTCTACGCTTGATCTCTCAACAGTACCCCTTACTTCTGCCATAGCACTAGGAATCAAAACAAGATCAAGCTCATGATAGGTAAGTGTTCAATCACAGAGCTACAGTCCTGCCCAGCTCTCACTAACATTCTTAAGATAAAGTTACTGAAAAAAAAATGGTGGCTCACGTCTGTAATCATTGCTACTCAGGAGGCTAAGATCTGAGGATTAGGGTTAAAAGCAGCCCAGGCAGGAATGTCTATGAGACTCTTATCTCCAATTAATTATCACCACCACCAAGGAAAAAAAAAGCCAGAAGTAAAGCTGTGCAGAAGTGGTAGATTAGTACATTACTGGTCTCGAGTAAAAAGCTCAGGCAGGGAGTTCAGGCTGAGTTCAGACCCCAGGGGAGGAGGGGGAACAAGAGGATGAGGAGAAGAAAGAAGAAAAAGGAGAAGGAGAAGGAGATGAAGAAAGAAGAAGGAAAAGGAGAAGAGAGGAGGAAGAAGAAGGAAGAAGGAGAAAGAGGGAGAGGGAGAAGCTGAAGTTACTAAAATTCCTGGAATCCATTCAGCTGCTAGTTTTTTGGTAAAGAAATTAATGAGTGAGCATAGATACCAATCAATAAGGACAGGAAAAGCTAGAGGTTCCACAGTATTTATGTAGAGGATAATCAGATTTAGGAAGGAAGACTTAAATATCAATTCTATCATGACACAGAAAAACAAATAAGAAAATCTTCACTGTCAAAACAACTGGTATTTTTTAACGTGACAGTTACAAAGGGAAGTATTTAATTTGTTTTTTATTGCTATTTCTTTACTAGACTCAAAAATGACTCTCAAATAGGAAAATATATTTTAAAAAAGTCAGTGACTCTGTTAGACAAACTAAAAATAACTTAATCTTATACAAACAGTAACATTCCCCAGAGGAGACAATCTACCTTACCTGATGAAAACCAGCTTGACCTTGGATGGGGCAGTCTTAATAATGGCAGAGGCATTCTGATGACTTCTCCCATATAAGATCTGATTGTTTATCTGTTTGAGAAAAAGAAAATGTACTTGTAAGCTTATAACCTGTGTATTTTACATAATAAATATACATTAATATTTATATATGTATATGTGCCTAGTCTTTCATTTTTTTTATTTCTGTCTTTAAGTGGTTGCACAACAGTTTTGGAAATTAACCTATCCATTTATGTGTACAGTGAGTCTTGATGATCATCCCTTGCATATTTATCACCCCACCCTAATCCATTACTCATTTTTAATGGTGTATATGTAAAACTCTTAAATCTAAATATCTTAATATTCTTTGAAATACAGATTAAAATACTACATTGGAGAAGCTACTAAAAATCATTTAAACCAGGTGCCAGGTGCTCATCCCTGTAAAAATCATAGCTACTCAGGAGGCTGAGATCTGAGGATCATGGTTCAAAGCCAGCCTGGGCAGGAAAGTCCATGACACTCTCACTTCCAATGAACCATCAGAAAACCAGGAATGGAGCTGTGGCAGATTGCTAGCCTTGAACAAAAAAGCTCAGGGACAGCATCTCAGCCTCAAGTTTCAAGCCCCATGATTGACCAAAAAAAGTTCATTTGGGTTTTATGTAAAATGGCAAGTTTACTGAAAGTATAAGCAAAGTATAGACTTTCAGTACAGTATAGAATATTGGTAGAACAGGGTCCTGGAACCAGAAATCCATTTTTATTTATTTTTATTTTTTGTCAGTCATGGGGTTTGAACTCTGGGCCTGAGCACTGTCCCTGAGCTCATCAGCTCAAGGCTAGTGCTCTACCACTTGAGTCACAGCACCACTTCTGGTTTTCTGATGGTTTATTGGAGATAAGAGTCTCATGAACTTTCCTGCCCAGGTTGGCTTTGAACCATAATCCCCAGAGCTCAGCCTCCTGAGTAGCTAGGATTACAGGTGTGAGCCACTGGCACCCAGCCTTCCATTAAATTCAATTTTGACTACTGTTAATAAAGAACATATTAAAGGTTCCTTGCCTGACCCTTTGCCAAACTGTATGAAATCAGTAGTTGAGCTCTAACAAAAGTTATAGCAGAGCTATTTTACTTCCTACGGCTTTCCAAGACTCTTAAAACATATAGAAAATGCACCAAATTGTAGTCTTCATCAGAGCTCCAGAAGGGGCCACTAATTATGATTCTGTAAGTGTGTCAAGGTTATTACATAGCATCAAGTGTGTTATCCTAGGATATAAATATTCTACTCCTGATTTATGGCAAATTTTAGATTAACTGCATAGTAACATTTTACTTTAGACAATCAATGAGCCATCTGCTCATGTTCAAGATAGTGGTGGGGTTTTTAATTGTGGAATCACTTAAATATTCTCTAACAGCATTAGATCTACATTGATAAACTGTGATGATAGCTCTAATCATTCTCTTATTTTATCCACTTAATGATAGCTTGCACAACTTTGGCTTTTCACCCTTATCTATTTAGTAAGTAACTAAAGTTCTATAGTGCTATATCATATCTCTATGTAACTGTGGCATGGATAATTTCTACATTCAAAGGGTAGTTCAGCATACTCTATAGGGAACAGTATAAAAGGACTGAACTCTTTGATAATCAGCACCTAATCTGCCAGCCCTTGATGTCTCTGCTTTTGAAGACACAGCTGATATTGTTTTAAAGTATTCTTTCTGGCATAACAGTTATAATGAGAAAGCATATGGAAGTGAGCACTTCAAAGAACATCATCAAAGCAAGACACTCTTAACTGTTCTCCATAACCCACCCTTCCCTTCCCCCCCACCCCACCCCTTTCTCTCTGTGAGTCCTGGGGTTTGAACTCGGATCTAAGTGCTGTCCTTGAGCTCTTTCACTCAGGGCTGATACTATACCACTTTGAGCCACAGCACCACTTCCAGTTTTCTGGTAGTTAACTGGAGATAAAAGTCATAGG